CCCCCCTCCTCACTTTTTCTCTCTTCCCCCCCCCCCACCCCCTCCTCACTTTCCCTCTCTTCCCCCCCCCCCTCCTCACTTTTTCTCTCTCTCCCCCCCCCCTTCCTTTTTCTCTCTCTTCCCCCCCCCCCTCCTCCTCCCCTCACTTTTTCTCTCTCTTCCCCCCCCGTCTCCTCCCCTCTCTCTCTTCCCCCCCCCTTCTCCTAACTTTTTCTCTGTCTCCTTCCCCCCCCTCACTTTTTTTCTCTGTCTCTTTCCCCCCCCCTCCTCCCTCACTTTCTCTGTCTCTTCCCCCCCCCTCCTCACTTTTTCCTCTGTCTCTTCCCCCCCCCCCTCCTCACTTTTTCTCTGTCTCTTCCCCCCCCTCCTCACTTTTTCTCTGTCTCTTCCCCCCCCCCTCCTCACTTTTTCTCTGTCTCTTCCCCCCCCTCCTCACTTTTTCTCTGTCTCTTCCCCCCCCCCCCCCTCCTCACTTTTTCTCTGTCTCTTCCCCCCCCTCCTCACTTTTTCTCTGTCTCTTCCCCCCCCCCCATCTCACTTTTTCTCTGTCTCTTCTCCCCCCCCCCCTCCTCACTTTTTTTCTCTGTCTCTCCCCCCCTCCTCACTTTTTCTCTGTCTCTTCCCCCCCCCTCCTCACTTTTTCTCTGTCTCTTCCCCCCACCCCTCACTTTTTCTGTCTTTTCCCCCCCCCCTCCTCCTCACTTTTTTTCTCTCTCCCCCCCCCCCCCCCCCTTCAATTTTTCTCTCTCCCCCCCCCCCCTCAATTTTTCTCTCTCTCAATTTCCCTCTCTCCCCCCCCCTCAATTTTTCTCTCTCTCCCCCTTCAAATTTTCTCTCTCTCTCCCTCCCCCCCTCCCCCCTCAATTTTTCTCTCTCTCTCCCCCCTCCACTCCTCACTCTTTTCTCTCTCTCCCCCCCTCCTCACTTTCTCTCTCTCTCCCCCCTCCTCACTTTCTCTCTCTCTCACTCCCCCCCCCCCTCCTCACTTTCTCTCTCTCTCTCCCCCCCTCCTCACTTTCTCTCTCTCTCTCCCCCCTCCTCACTTTCTCTCTCTCTCTCCCCCCTCCTCACTTTCTCTCTCTCTCTCCCCCCCCCTCCTCACTTTCTCTCTCTCTCTCCCCCCCTCCTCACTTTCTCTCTCTCTCTCTCCCCCCCTCCTCACTTTCTCTCTCTCTCTCCCCCCCTCCTCACTTTCTCTCTCTCTCTCCCCCCTCCTCACTTTCTCTCTCTCTCTCTCCCCCCCCCCTTTCTCTCACTTCTCTCTCTCTCTCTCTCTCTCCCCCCTCCTCACTTTCTCTCTCTCTCTCTCCCCCCTCCTCACTTTCTCTCTCTCTCCCCCCCTCCTCACTTTCTCTCTCTCTCCCCCCTCCTCACTTTTTTCTCTCTCTCCCTCCCCCCCCCTCCCGCTCTCTTCTTCTCTCTCCCCCCCTCCTCACTCTTTCTATTTTTTTCTTCTCTTTTCCTTTTTCTCTCTCCTTTTTTTTCTCTCTCTCTCTCTCAGCGAGACAGCCCTCTCTCCCCTCTTTTTTTTTTTTCCTCTCTCTTGCACAGAACGGGTGCAGGAAACTAGATCATCCACCGAGTCATCACACACTGAATATCTTGCTACATTGTGTCTTTATTTTCCTGGTCTATACTCCACATTACTCAGGTCCTTACACACAGGACACTCAGGGACTTTCTGTAAATGAGTTCCTTAGTAAACATCAGTAAATGATGACACCCGTGTGCAAGTGGCCTAAAAGTAAAACCAATGGCAGAACTTTTTCTTTCATTATGGATAGAGTACGGGGGGGGTTATAACCCCCAGTCAGTTTTTTGGTAGAAATGTTTACATTTTTATTATTTGAAATCATGTTATTCACATTTTTGTTACTGAAATATATACATTCTATTTTTATCCAATCTTTATTGTAGAAATATGTACAACTTAATGTTTTGTTTTGTTATTTAGTTTTCAAATTTTTATTTTAGAAATATATACATTATTGTTGTTTTTTTGTTATTTCAGACATAAATTACATTTTATTATAGCATTATTTTATTGTTTTCCTTTTTTTTTGTTTTTTTTTTTTTTAGTCTAGAACTAGATTATTTTAATCTTTTATTAGGGTTTTTCCTTTTCATCCGTAACACCTAAGTAAGCTGTAAAGGTGTTTTAGAATGGGATGAGGAAGGTTTGCCGTACAGTAACAGATGTTCACCGTCCTCCCTCGCACGGGTCACGAAGATGCCACAATACGTATTGTGCGGAGTGTGATCTGGGTGGGTGGGAGGCTGGGGGTTGGAATTCTAGATGTTAGGCGGTGGTGATGTTGAGATGGAGGTTCCAGTTAGTGGGGCTCGAGCTGCTATTTATATCCCCCCCCTTAGGCCTTGTCCTGTCGCTGAGCCTCCAGCCATTGATTTCCGATATTGTCATGGACAGGCGTCTGTTGATGGATGAAGTACGTCACCCGCTGGGTCGGCACTTTCCCATGGTTTGGGTGCCAATAATCCAGCAAAATCTATTGTGAACTTTTCACCGCTTCGTAACAATTATTGTTTTTTTTTTTTTCTTCCACCAATAATTTTGCCCTGGAGGGAAAGTAAAGGAGAAATGTTCTTGCGGGATGTCCCGTACGTTGGGCCGGATCGAAGGGTCAGTCCAGCGAAGACTGTATTTGACTTTTGGGTACTTTGATACATTGTTTCTCTGATCTATAATAATTTCCTCCTCTGTACTGATCTGACATTTGTCTCCTCTGGGGTCGGAGTTCCCCAGATTTACTATTAGTGGATTGTTGTCCCCAGTGATATGATGTAGCCATGTTCCCTCATGTCATTGGTTGTCGTGATATGGGGACAATGTGTTCCCTCTTCTGTCATACAGGCACATCCTCCCTGTCCTGTTACATTATATATGAAGGGGCAGCTCCCCCCCCCCCCCCCCCCCCCCCCCCCGCTATAGACGCCATTGTTTATTTATGAGCTGGAACATATTCTGAGGAGCCACAGGAGAGTCTACTGCAGAGCCGCCCATCTGTCCCTGTGTGTGCCGGGGAAACCTCCATACCTTGTGTGATGGAAGGGAGGAACATGGACAGAATTATCACAGAGGTCAGCTGAGTTTTGTGGGGCCTCGGCCTCAACTAGCAGACATTAGAGTGTAAGCTCCTCTGGTACAGAGGCTGATGTGACTGTGGGGGAGGGGACATTAGAATGTAAGCTCCTCTGGTACAGAGACTGATGTGACTGTGGGGGAGGGGGCATTAGAGTGTAAGCTCCTCTGGTACAGAGACTGATGTGATTGTGGGGGAGGGGACATTAGAGTGTAAGCTCCTCTGGTACAGAGACTGATGTGATTGTGGGGGAGGGGACATTAGAGTGTAAGCTCCTCTGGTACAGAGACTGATGTGACTGTGGGGAGGGGGACATTAGAGTGTAAGCTCCTCTGGTACAGAGACTGATGTGACTGTGGGGGAGGGGACATTAGAGTGTAAGCTCCTCTGGTACATATACTGAGACTGTGGGGAAGGGGCATTAGAGTGTAAGCTCCTCTGGTACAGAGGCTAATGTGAATGGCTGAGTGGTCTACAGCACTGCGGTATATGTCAGAGCTATATAAACGTATAATATTAATGTGTGACTGTGGGGGAGGGGACATTAGAGTGTAAGCTCCTCTGGTACAGAGACTGATGTGACTGTGGGGGAGGGGGGACATTAGAGCGTAAGCTCCTCTGGTACAGAGACTGATGTGACTGTGGGGGAGGGGACATTAGAGTGTAAGCTCCTCTGGTACAGAGACTGATGTGACTGTGGGGGATGAGGGGACATTAGAATGTAAGCTCCTCTGGTACAGAGACTGATGTGACTGTGGGGGAGGGGACATTAGAGTGTAAGCTCCTCTGGTACAGAGACTGATGTGACTGTGGGGGAGGGGACATTAGAGTGTAAGCTCCTCTGGTGCAAGACTGATGTGATTGCTCAGTGATCTATGTACAGCACTGCGGTATATGTCAGAGCTATATACATGTATAATATTAGAAATGTGACAAGTGGAAATATTGGAGTGTAAGCTCCTCTGGTGCAATGACTAATGCATGCCTGAATGAGAGAACCTGTGCAATGTTCAAATAAATATTAGCTGTAAATATAAGGTGTGCGTGTATATATTGTGAGCAGTCTGCTATCATCCCTGCATGGGATGTTCCCAGGTCTGTACGCGTGCTGTAGCCATTGAGGGGTTCTCACCATTCCTGTGCCGAGTTCCCAGGTCTGTACATGCACTGTGCCCATTATGAGAGGTTCCCACCATCCCTGTGCGGAGTTCCCGGTTCTGCACACCTTCTGTGCCCATTATGGGGGATTACCACCATCTCTGTTGTGAGTTCACAGGTCTGTACATCTGCTGTGCCCATTATGAGGGGTCCCCACCATCCCTGAGCTGAGTTCCCGGGTCTGTACGCCTGCTGTGCCCATGATGAGGGGTTCCCACCATCCCTGTACTGAGTTCCCAGGTCTGTACACCCGCTGTGCTCATGAGGGGTTCCCACCATCCCTGTGCTGAGTTCCCGGGTCTGTACACCCGCTGTGCCCGTTATGAGGGGTTCCCACCATCCCTGTGCTGAGTTCCAGGGTCTGTAGCCCGTTATGGGGGTTCCCACCATCCCTGTGCTGAGTTCCAGGGTCTGTACACCCGCTGTGCCCATTATGAGGGGTTCCTGCCATCCCTGTGCTGAGTTCCCAGGTCTGTACACCCGCTGTGCCCATTATGAGGGGTTCCCACCATCCCTGTACTGAGTTCCCAGGTCTGTACACCCGCTGTGCTCATGAGGGGTTCCCACCATCCCTGTGCTGAGTTCCCGGGTCTGTACACCCGCTGTGCCCGTTATGAGGGGTTCCCACCATCCCTGTGCTGAGTTCCCAGGGTCTGTACACCCGCTGTGCCCATTATGAGGGGTCCCTGCCATCCCTGTGCTGAGTTCCCAGGTCTGTACACCCGCTGTGCCCATTATGAGGGGTTCCCACCATCCCTGTGCTGAGTTCCAGGGTCTGTACACCCGCTGTGCCCATTATGAGGGGTTCCCACCATCCCTGTGCTGAGTTCCCGGGTCTGTACACCCGCTGTGCCCATTATGAGGGGTTCCCACCATCCCTGTGCTGAGTTCCCGGGTCTGTACACCCGCTGTGCCCATTATGAGGGGTTCCCACCATCCCTGTGCTGAGTTCCCGGGTCTGTACACCCGCTGTGCCCATTATGAGGGGTTCCCACCATCCCTGTGCTGAGTTCCCGGGTCTGTACACCCGCTGTGCCCCATTATGAGGGGTTCCCACCATCCCTGTGCTGAGTTCCCGGGTCTGTACACCTGCTGGATTTTCATGCAGAAATTGGGCAGTAACTAGCAGAGAGA